TCTGATGGCGCCCTCAAACCGGCGGCTGTCAAAGCCAGCAGGAGCCCCTCCAGCAATGGGTTGAGCCCCAGCCCTGGTGCAGGTGAGTCCTGCCCTCCTCCTCTTTTCTCTTTCCTGCCTTTGTGCCTCCCCGCAGTGTGGAGACGTTAGGAGTGAACGCCATTCCTCCTCTGACTCAGCCAATCAAGACATGCTGACCCGGGGTGGAGAAGGTGGTGAATTCTCTCCATCCTGTACCTCAGGAGTCTTCCCTGAGGAGTGGAAGAAGCAGGCAGGTTCTAGGAAGGACCACACCGGGGACTCCTGTGGACATGCGGGCCCCGGGTCTTGGAGTGAACCGTGCAGTGCTTTCAGGGCTCGGGAAGGCCAGGGGGCTAGCTCTGTTTTCTCCCTACAGATTAGACCAAAATTACTGGAAGGAATTCTGCCCTGTGTCTAGGAGGGGTATTTTCTGTCACGTAGCTGGCTCTTGCCTCTCTTTATAGCATGAGTACAGGCACACTCATAAGGCAGGCTTCCGCCCGTGCCTCTCACGCCCTTCAGCACTCATCCCTTACTCATGCCTGACTCTTCAGACGTGGACGTGTGTCCAGGTAAATGGCTGCATTTGTGCATATGCCTGCCTTCTCCCTCTGACACCTGTGACACCTGGGCATGCACATGCTCATCCTAGGTCTTTCTCGCTACTGCCCCTTGCTTCCTAGAAGACTTGGGTCTGATTTGGAAACCACCTCTAATCCAGTAGGAGAGGAGATGGCAATACCCTTTCAGTGAGATTTCAGTGTGAATGACAATGGTATTTGACCATTCAGCTGGCCCTCCCCTCTTCAGATATGGTTGTTAAACTCAAATGTATGACCTCTTTGGAGATAGAGACCCCCCTGTATTACTCATCTTTTTTAGGTTTCTGGTATCTAGCTTCGTTCCCATCACTTGTTTATTAAATGGATGGAGTGTGAATGAACAGACATTTCCTTAAGTTAGGGGACATTTTTGATAAAAGACCAGATAGTAATTTTTTAGGCTTTGTGGGACATACAGTTTCTGGTAACTACTC